AGCGGGGCCGTGGCGGTGGCCGTCCCTCTCACCAGCCCCATCCCTTGCAGGTGAAGAGGAAGCTGAACTTGGAGACGGATCACCAGTACATAGCCGAGAGCCTGCCGGTGGGTCGGGGCAAGGCCAGGAACCCCGCTAAAGGCACCGGCCCTGCTCCCCTGACACAGCCCGGAGCAGGCGGTCTGGCAGCCCCACTGCTGCCCACGGCCTGGGCTGTGCCGCTCGTCCCTGGCAGCTTCTCCCGTCCCTTGGCATCAGTTTGGAGAGGTTGTTCCCAGGGCTGGGCTCTTTCTGGCTGCTCTCTCTGGCCGGTGCTGCTGTCCCCTGGGCTGGTGGTGTGGTTGTCCTGCCCATCTGCTGGGCACTGCACCGGCTCCATGCCTCCCTTTGGGATGGAGCTGTAGCCACCCGCGCTGTGTCAGTGCCGTGTCCCAGGTAGAGTCTCCTGGACCTTCCGTCATCTCCCCCCTGAGCCCTGCCTGGCACCTTGGTGTCACAACAGCACGGGTGTTGGGAGCCCACAAAAAGACCTGCAGCATCCTTCCTCCCTGAGAAAGCAGATGGGTTTCAAGGTGCTGGTCCTAGTCCCAGGTCCATGAGACACCTGCAAGCTTCGGGAGGGGGTGGTGTATTTTGGGACCTCTGAGCTCTAGCTGTGTTTCCAGTGTGGCTAAATCACAGTTGTGGCTGGCAGGGGCAAAGTCTCCCGGGGAGAAGTCCCGTTACGAAACCTCGCTGAACCTCACCACCAAACGCTTCCTGGAGCTGCTGAGCCAGTCGCCTGACGGTGTAGTGGACCTCAACTGGGCAGCCGAGGTCCTGAAGGTGCAGAAGAGACGCATCTACGACATCACCAATGTCCTGGAGGGCATCCAGCTCATCACCAAGAAGTCCAAGAACAACATCCAGTGGCTGTACGTCCCTGGGCCAGGCTCGTGGGGCTGTGGCTGGCTGCCCCAGGGGATGGGGGAGCTTGCCTGGGCCAGACTTAGGGCAGAGCAGGGTCTTGCTGGGAAGGAGAAGCTCAAAGCAGCGTCACAGGAGCATCTGCTCAGGGGTTGAGTGATGGCTCCCCCTTTATGTGGTCCATGGCTCCGAGCAAGGGCTGTGCTTGATTGCGGGTGGCTCCTGAGCATCAATATCCCTGTGTTGGCTGTGAGTCCCCCCCCATCAGGCTTCCTGAGTCAGCCCGGTGAGTAGGGGGGGCTGTGTCCTGGTTTGGGGAGGGGACCCCAGGGCTGTACTGTACTGGGTAATTCCCACAGAGCCAATTCCCTGGCTGTGGGGTGGGATTAAACCCGGCCCACATGGGCACAGTCACAGTGTGGGGCAGAGGGAGCCGTGGGGTTTGGCTCCTGATGGCCACGGTGCTCCCCAGGGGCAGCCAGGCCACTGTGGGGGCCGCTGGCCGGCACCGGCTGCTGG